AAACCACAGTGATAGCTCATACTGGAGAGGATGTGGAGCAAGGGGAACATGCCTCCATCACTGGTGAGAGCGCAAACTTATACAGCCTCTTTGGGAGTCAGTGTGGCAGTTTCTCAGAAAATCTGCCACATGACACAGCTATGCCACTCTTGGTCACATACCCAAATGGTGCTAAGTCATGCCACAAGGACACTTTCTCAACTATATTCACAGCAGCTAGCTTTATTGGTAATAGCCAGAACTTGGAAACAACCTAAATGTTCCTCAACCAAGGAATGGATAAACAAAATGTGGTACATTTACAGAATGGAGTACTACTCAGTTGTTAAAACCAAAGACACCAGGAAATTTGTGGGGAAATGGATGGAACTAGAAAAATAATCATCCTGAGTGAGGTAACCCAGACTGGGAAAGACAAACATGGTATGTGCTCACTTATAAGCTGTAAAATAAAGGATAACTATGCTACAATCCACAGACCCAGAAAGAGTAGGTAACAAAGAGGGTTCATGGGGGGGGGGGCATACCCAGATCTCTCTGGGAAGGGGAAATAGAACAGATTTCATGAGTAGACTGAGGAAGGTGGGGATGGGAATATTGATTGTGTTTTTATGCCAGCATCTAGACATCTGCGTTTGGGATGATTATAGCTAGGTCCTGTTTTCTGGGTTTGTTTTTGATGGGTGAGTGTTCCTTGGTTTCTGTTTCCTCTCTGGATTTTTGGAGAGTGTGATGGGTATGTGTTGCCTGTTTTACTGGCCTGCTCTGCTGGTGTATTCATAGGGAATGCTTGTTGATGTGGGAGGTTGCAATACTGAGATGACTTGGAGAGAGGAAGACTAGAGAAGAAGGTCTTTGTGATCCACTGGGAAACAGAGAGGAAAAGGAGATCTCAGTGGGTTTCCTGCCTCACAGCTGGGAGTGGGGTAGGGGTGGAGATCATATGTCAGGGGCAGTGGGAGGTGTGGGTTTGGCCTCAGCCTACTTGTTTGTCCTGGCCCTTGGGTTAGCTGGGGGTGCCTACCGAGACTGGGGTCTGGGACAAAGCAACAAGCAGTGGGGTGGGGAGATCATAACATCTGTGAGATCCATAAAAGATGGGGGGTTGGTGGGGAAGGTTGCCATGGGTGTTCTGTTGCAGAGCTGGGGATGAGACTGGGGGACTGGATCTGGGGGAATAGCATTAGAGAGAAGGGAAAGTCTGCCAGCAAGGTGCCTGATTTTCTGGCAAGTGTGACCTTTAGCGTTATTTTTATTTGCATCTGTGTGTGCGGTGTGTGCGTGGTGGGTGGTGCCTCTGGAGTCTGGAGAACAGTACTGGATCCCCTGGAGTTGCAGTTACCAGTTACCAGCAGTTTTAAGTTGCCTGAGCTGGCTGCTGGAAATCAAACTCATGGACTCTGGAAGACCATCAAGCACTCTTAACTACTAGATCATCTCTCTAGCCCCAGTTTTTGCTATTTTTAATGTCTATCATATGTGAAAAAATATTAACTTTAAAGGATGTTATCTTCAAAAAGAAAATGTCTTAGGGGTGTCCTTATTTAAAATACAGTGGGATGCAAAAGGAGATGAGTTTTTTCCCTTGGATGATGGTAGAAGTGTATGGAGATGCTCCTTATTATAAGGTCTCAAGAGAAGGTGCTACTGGGCCTAGGATGGGAACTCAGGAAGTGTTAGATGTGCACAGGGCACCTCTCACCACCCAGAAAGAAGAGAAACGCTAAGAATAATTCCACCAGCATGCAAAAGTCAGCCACACATAAAATAGTGGCAACCCCAAGAGAAGCTCCCAGGCTCCTTTTAAGCATGGCTAGGGGGAATTCCAAGGACAGTTAGGTTATCTCCACCAAACACATTGAAGTTTAACATTTATAGTGTCTATTAAATGTAAAAGCAAATACATTTTTACCAAAGCTTTAGGGGAAAATATTAAATTTATAAGACACTCATAAGCTAGATTTCTTGATGATTACATTCTTTTAGCCTGTGCAATTTGCCTCATAACATGACATAGTCTCAATATCTAGCCATTGTTTCTAGGAAGAAAACATGGTTGTGTATTTTGATTGATAGCTGATATAAGATACAACTTCAAATACCCTTGTCCCTTGAAGAAATAAAGTACTCAGAATGTGGAAGTGTTTAAACTCGTTCCAGATGGGTCTGAATGCTTTCACTAGCGAAGCATACCCACTAGTAAAAAAGCACATTGTAAGCCAGAAGAATAGGGAAGACCAACTGGAATACTGTCATTTCTCCAGTATCCAAGGAAAGTAATTGTCTTAGGACCAGCTCCTAAAGCATCCCAGATGCAACAAAATAAGAAACATCCGTCCAGGCTCACGCCTGTAATCCTAGCACTTAGGAGCCTAAGGCTGAGGATGGTGTGGGTTCAAGACCAGCCTGTGCTACATAGTGAATTCCAGAACCACCAGAGCTACAGAGTGAGATCCTATCAAAACAAAAACAAAAAAAAAAACAAAACCTCAAAACTATCTAATAACAATAGAATATGTTTAATACTAATATATTAAATTCTGTAATGGCTAATTTTAGTGTCAGTTTGATTAATCTGTAAGGGTGTATCCCAGAACAGAAAGCTGACATTTTTTAAGATATGGCTAGTCTTGAATTCACTGCATAGCTGAGGCTAACCTTGACTCCTGTTGCTTAGCCTAGGTTACAGGCATATACCACTACACCCAGCTTGCCATCGGTTTGTTAATTTTTTTTTTTCAGATAAAATACAATAGGTGTCTGGTAGATACCTGTTATGCTGTTTCTCCACTTTTCTCCCTTAACTTGCAGTGACTTTCTGTCCTTATCTTTCCAATGACTTCATAGTGGTATAAGGTCCTGGTGTCAGTGCTAATTTTAGGACTGGATAACGTAATCTAATGTACATTTTACTGTTCATACAGTTTTGAACCCTGACTAACAACATCCCTTCTTTGGATTACCAAGGAATGGTAATCTTTCAAACTCCAAACTCAGACCTCCTTATTTCTTCCAAGATTAGGCAGATTGAGGCTCTGATCCCTGAATAGGCAAGGTCGGCATCCCTGGTCAGCTTTAAGAAGCCTCAGAAAATGGAACTGCCGTCATTGGCTCTTAAGGAGTCAAAGTCCTGAAGGCAGAAATTAAAGCTGAAATGCAAGGCAGAGGAACTAAGGGGTCTTGGCACTGGGAATCAAGGAAATTTCAAAAACAGGATTGCAAATTTGTCATGCAAAGGCCTTGAATCCCCTGCCTCAGTGTCAAGACTTCCTTAACTTTTGACCTTCACTTTCACCTATTCAGCCAATTAACCACACCCCTCATATATCACCTTGTGATCCATTTCCTAACGAAAAGTTCTTTAGATAAAAGAAGCATACCAAAGCCTTTTCACTTAAGCTTTTAAACCTTTGGGCCACTGTACCTCCAAAAGAGACCAGCAGCGACTATGATCTATTGTTTTATTTTGTTTGTCTCAGACAGTCTCACGTACCCATGCTGTACAGCTAAAGATAGCCTTGAACTCTGATCCTCCTGCTTTCTCTACACAATGCTAAGATTATAGGTTTTCATCACCACAAAGGGCTGCACAAATAGCTCTGTAAATGTACTTAATGTGACTCTCTTTTGGGAAGTCTCTCTCGCTGTGTAGTGCTGAGGGGCCTGAAACTGGCTCTGTAGACCCGGCTGGCTTTGAACTTACAGCAATTTTTCTGTCTCCGCCTCTCAAATACTGGGATTCCAGACATGCTTCCCTGTGCCAGGCTTGTTTTTGCCTGTTTGTTCGTTTGTTTGTTTGTTGGCAGACTCTCTTGAATTCAGACTGTGTGGAGGATGACCTTGAATTCCCAATCCTAGCAAGACAGAAGCCTGCCACGTGTGGAAAAGGTGTTGTGTTCAATGTCCTAACACCATTAAAAGAATTGAATAAACATAAATCAGATTATTAACTTGCCACTCTGTTTCTTTGCTCACAATCCCCCAATGGCTCTTATTCTTTTTGGCTTAAATTCCAATTCCTTGGCATTAATCACAAGACCGTGTGTCTGAAGAGTCGCCAGCTTTTGCCTAAGGGTTTGCAAAGGTCATACATAGGGCAGGGATAGTGGGTAGAAGGAGCAATCATGTGACTTTTTTAAATAGTTTTTTTCTCAAAGGAGTGTTTCCTGGCACATATTTTTCAAAGATTTAGCACATTATTAAAGTTCTAGTAAAATGAAAATGCTATCATGTGTTTTCTGTACACTCAAGGATCCTCCTAGCAGCAATGCTTAAAGTACTTACAGCCCTCAGTGTCCAAATCAAACTTCCAAGTCTCTTCCCTTTGTCTACTGCCTCCCAACTTCTATTCAGTTCTCAACGTCCCGCAAGATAAATGGGCGACTGTTCCCATAGCTTCATGTTCATATATTAATGAAGGGAATTCTGAAACTCATGTCTGTCTTTAGTCTTTAGTACTGTGGAGAGGAGAAACAATCTAATGACATAGTCTTATTTTCTTGGGGAGGGGCACGTCTGGGGAGGGTGTAGAAACTGGATCTCAAGTAGCACAGGCTGGCCTGAAACTCTAGCTGAGAATGACCTTGAATTCTTTAGGGATTACGGGCGTGCTACGTGGGGCACCACTCAGCTCGCTTCGTTTTCTCCTTGTTCAATAGCAAAAGTTCAACCCACTGTCCCTTCTAAGTGAGTTTTAACACGTCGAGCTTAAATAAAACTTAAACGATTTACGATTGGTGGCAACTTCCTCATCTCCAAATTACTTATTTCGTTATACATATGGAACCTTTTCAGAAAGCAGCAATGCGTTGCTCACGGAAATAATGGATAACTTCGGAGTTGAGCTACTCTGCTCTGTCTACCTTCACATTTGCAGGTGCCAACCGGGGTACAGGACGCAGACTCCGTCAGTCACGGGACACCGGAGGCGCTCGCACAGGCGGTCCACGCCTGAGCATGCGTGGACAGCGGCGCGCGCGCAGGCGCGGGGACGGCTCGCGCAGGCGCGGTGCGCGGTTGTCCCGGTACGCAGATCTACCCGGGTTCCGGCATGCCGGGCCGGCGTCTGGTTGCCGTCTCCCGGTTGTCTGCGCACCATGGAGTGCCTGCGCTGCCTCCCCCGGCTGCTGCCCCGCGCCGTGCAGTCCCGGCGGGCCCTGTGTGTCGCGCGCCTGAGCCCTGCTGCCTTCTGCGGTCGCGCAACCCCGCTGCTCTCCGGGAACCAGAAGGCGCCGAGCTTGCCGGGCGCTGCAGGTAGCGAGCGCGTCCCGCGGGGCCCCTCCTGCCCTTGTTCCCGCCGTCCTCACCGCTGAGCGACCTGCGTCACTTGCCCTGCCCGCTGTTCTCAGGCCAGCACTGCGGGGACTCGAGTGTGGTTTCTTGTTTGTTGAGACAGGACTGGCCGCGAACTGGCAGCAGTCCTCCTGTCTCAGCCTTCTGAATTCTACAGTTAGGAGCGTTAACCGTTAGGCTAGTTTTGGGTTTTTTGTTGTTGTTGTTGTTGTTATAAGTTTAACATTTAAATGTTGTCCGAGCGTGGGTGTGTCTTTCTCTGTGTGTGGGGGGAGGTCAGATGACAGCTTGCTCGAGTCAGTTCCGTCCTGGACCGAACTCAGGTAGTAAAAGCTTGGCAGCGGGCTTTTTTGCCGGCAGAGCCATCTGCTCAGTCCAAAGTTTTCGTAACGATACTTTTATACATACTTTTCCTTGATAACCATCTCCCTCCTGCTGGCCTTTTTGCCTCCGTATGCCCCCTTCTGCTTTCATGTCACAGAATTGTGTTAGGTTGGGGTTTTTTGTTTTGTTTTGAGACAAGGTCTCACTGGCTTGGAACTCACTGTGAAGCCAGATCAAACTCGAAGCTGAGTGGAATAAACACGTTTAGCAAGATTGGGATGTTATTAATTCTGTTTATTTTGTTAATTTCTCTTCCGGGTACATTTATACATTAGCACAGTTGCCCTGGTATAGAATAGGGAATTCCTAGAAGTGAAGTTGAAGAATCTGAAGCCGGTGGTGAGAGCTAACTGTGGATGAAGTCTGCTGTTAACTGTGTAAGCAGACAGCCAGGGAGCTCTGGGCGAAGAAAGGAGTCTTCTTGCTGCTGGTGTTTCTGTCACCCAGTGGTGATGTGTGACGAAATGGGAGTGCAGGTTCTGCTCGGAACAAACAGCCCTAACACAACAGTGGTTTCTGGTGCTTTTTTAAAAAGTTGTACTTAAGAATTTACCAAATGTTGGTCAGCACCTCCTCACACCCAGTCTTTTTTGGTTAGGTGCCTTTTTCCCTCCCTTGATCATGCTTGGGAACCAAGTGGTCTGCAAGATGCAAGAACTTTTAGAATAAACATTGAAATCCAGAGCTGTAATCGTGGTGACACTTTAAATTCTGGCACTTGTTCAGTCCCTAGAGCTTACATGGTGGAATGAGAAAACAGACACTTGCAACGTCACTTCTGACTTCCGCATTGTTCACATTTGCCCAGTGAACAAAATATATATATATATATATATATGTATATTACTTTTGTGCAGTGCTTGGGACAAAACCCAGGGCCTTGTGCATAAGGCCCTGAGATTGCCTCAGCTCCACCTGACCTTCCCAGCCATAAAGGGCCGACCTCAGATAGTCAACAAGTGGTATGGACTTAGTTCATGGAAGCAGGAGGAAGGAGGAAGGACAGAATAGGTAGGGGAGAACAGCTCGAATCCTAACATAACAAGTGTTTCTTTTTCCGGCAGGAAAAAGTTTCAAAACACAAGGTGTTCCGGAGGTTCCGTGTACTGTGAGAATTGCAATTGAGCTTCCAAGAAAACCAGTCATGCTCACGGGACATTTCATTCTCTGATTTTCTTCTTAGGTGACGTGCACCGGTCTAGAACCTCCGATGCCTCTCAAGCCACCTTAGCCAGCGTGGCCCAAGTGTTTGCTGTGGTGAGTGCACCTCATCCAGTAATGTGCAAGAAGCACTTCACATGCTTATGAAATGAACGCGCAGGGTTGAATGGTTGGCAGAGGTACTGGATTATATTTGGCCAGTGACCCAAGTGCCCGAGATACTGTTTTAGTGGTACTCTTGAAGCTTTACTAATGACTGAGTTCTCGCTATACAGCACAGGCTGCTCAAATGGCAGCTCAAAGTCTTCTCCTCTCTGGTAGAATGTAACGTTTATATAGTACATGTTAAGGGTTCCCACCAGCAGCCAAAGTTTGCTGTTTTGTAACAGGTCTCGTGTAACTTAGCCTGACTTCAAATTCACTGTGTGGTCTAGGGTGCTCCACCATGCTAGGTTTTAATGTGCCACCACACCTACTTTATGTGGTCCTGGGAATTGAACCCAGGACTTTTTGTATGCAAGGCAAGCACTCTGCTCTACCAACTGAGCTACATCCCCAGCCCCAAAGTTTCCCTTGTGAACACACCAGAATTTCTAAGTCTGCTTAGAATCCCTTGGGAGCTACTAGCCACTGAGAGCCCTGGACGATGATGGAAAGGCAGCAGAGTGCAGTATTAAGTGCATGCCTGAGGGGCAGCTGTGTTCTCAACTCTGTGAAGTGATTTGGGGGAAGTAAGTGAATTAATAACACATCTGTGTGTATGCACTTGTGCATACGCGCTCATACACATTTAAGAAAATAAAGCCTTTGGTGGCAAAATGTTAGCAAAAAGTAGCCTATATAAAATTACAAACCAATTGTTTTTGTAGCTCATTTTGTAAGCTTTTGTGGTTTCCAAAAAAGTTTTAAGAAAAAGGGCTTGACCTGAGGCAAACTTCCTGAGTTTAAACCTCAGAATGCACTCTCGCTGTTGGGGGACTTGGACAAGTTATTGTGACATCTTGTACCTTGGTTTTCTCATTAATAACTAGGAATAAACTGCCTTAGGTACTCGTGAGCATTATAGGAAGCTGAGATAACATCATCGTATTTTAATTTGCTCATTTCTGAAGTAGAAATAGCCATGCTTTAGGGGCTGGAGAGAAAGCCAAGCACCTGCTGCTCTTCCAGGGGACTTGAGTCTCACTCTCAATCCCCGAACTGGGTGGCTCACAACGTTAGCCACAGCTCCAGGGGTCCAACACCTCCTGTATTCCAGGTACCTATATAAACATTCAGACATATTCATAAAAGGAAAAATTACAGCACCTACATTATAAAAACTACTTTAAAAATGGAAGCAACTTACAAAATTTGACAGTGGTGCCTCAGACATCATAACCATCCAGCATGTGTTAGTCTTTACAAATATTTGGGTTTAATTAATATTAACTTCTTAAAGAACTTTAAGACAGGTCTCACTAAGTAAGCCTCACTAGCTAGGCTGGAGCACTCAGGATCAGCCTGGCTCAGCCTTCCAAGTGCTGGATTGAAGGTGTGTACAACCATGCCCAGCTAAAGAACTTTGTTTTTGCAAGACGGAGTTTCTCTAAAGACCAGGCTGACCTGGGAATCAGAGATCTGTCTGCTTTTCCCTCCCAAGCGCTGGGATTAAAGGCTTGTGCCGCCACCACCCAACTAAAAGAACTTTTCTTTATGGACAATATAAGATAAGAGGCATATCAGATTTGCTTGTTCCTTTTTTTGTTGTTTGAGGTTTGTTTGTTGTTTTGCTTTTTTGAGACAATCTCACTTAATTGACCAGGCAGAGCTAAAAACCGCCTGGTTAGCCCAACCTAGGCTCATACGAATATGTCAGTCTTCCTACTGCAGCTTCCAGGTGCTAGGATGCAGTCCTGAGGCCCCATGTTCTACAGAATTACCTGGAAAGTCATTGCTCATAGTCAGTCTTCTGGAGTTGATCAGCTTCACAGTAGAATCAACCCTAGCTACTCAGGAAACCATGGCAAAAGGATTTGAGTTTAAGGCCTGCCTGAACCACACCGTGAGCCCACCCCGCTTTCCCCAAATGAAAATAAAGTCAGATAATGACTGAAAGAAAATTCCTTGTAGGCCAAGTAAGTTTCTCCCAAGAACATTTAGCAATCAGCTGATTCTGTTGACAAGAATGAGTTGGAAAAGTGAGCTGGTTACAAAGCAAACATTTTAAATGTCAGTTTTATGTGATATCTTCCATAAAAGGATCCCACTAAGGAAAAGTGTATATAAATTTTGAAATGTAAGAGCATTTACTATGTGTTAGTAGAGGTATGTTTTACAGAAACACTGGAAGACACTGTATAAGTTATTATTGGCATAGTTTTCTCTAAAATTGGTCAGATCATATGATTTAAGTAGTTTTACAAATTTTCTTATTTTCAGCAGTGAGTATATGTGTTTAAGAAATAAATCTAAGGCAAGCTATCTGTATAACATAGATACAAAGCTTTTATTAAAAATTGACCTTGGCATTTCCTCTGCTTCTGCCTCCTGTTGATCCGATCTTTGCTCCTGAGAAGCAGATTGAAGTGTGTATTGTAGGTTTGTTGTGGTTCTGCTAACATAGCCCACATTGTTTCCCCAAGACCTGTGCTTGGATTGTGTTTACCTTCTTACGTGGGACAGTCCAGCCCTTCACAGTTGACACCTTCAACCGTGACTGGCACAGCATACAGAAGAAAAGTGTCCCTCTACTGAGCAGCACCTAGTGACCTCATGTGTGCTGCTACTGCTGCAAGCACCTTTTCTGTTCATTTCTACTCATTCTGCAGGGCCTGCCAGAGACTTCTTAGCTCTAAGAAGACATTTAGATTTGTGAGGCACCCACTCCTTGGTCCCAGTCTCCAGAGAAGGATAAATTGTAACAAAGCAAAACATCATGTTTCCACCGAGTGATGTCCCCAACCCAGGGATTGTTGTCAAGGCCCTTCCAGGTCAGAAAGTCCTTGCAGTCACCTGAGGTTTCCCTAGCCTGCTGACGAGTAAATTTGCAGAGGAGGATGTAAGGTCCATTATTTACAGTCCCCATGTCTCCTGGCAACACTTCCAGGGCCCTCACAATGAGTGTGGCAAGGCTTAAAAGCATTTCCAGCCCAATGCATTCACTCATCAGGCCATTGTTACCCAAATCAAGGTTACCTGGAAACAGGACTGATTCTCCTGAATGGATTTCTAGAGGAACCAAGATAGAAAGTCAGTCTAATATCAGGTTTATATTAAACAAAGGAAAGAGGGATTTTCCTTCTGACTTCTGCGGCTATATTTAAACTTAAGATTAGATATGATTTATAACTGCATTTCAAAATTTTGAGGGTGTTTCTCAGAACATAAATATACTGAATTGAAATTAATGTTTGTTTTTATTTTCTATCTTTAGACAAAGTTTGACAAAGAAGGAAATGTTACTTCTTTTGGTGAGTATCATTATCAATGGACTAGTGAATTTGGTGGAAAATTGGAAATTTTAGTGTTGAAATACAGTGTTCCTTGTATTTGCTGCTGTGTTAAAGAGGTCCTTCAACGTTTGTTCATCAGCCCTCATGGGGCTAGCAGCCCCTGGGTGCAATTCTCTGCATTACCTCCTTTTAGCAGGAATCGCTTGGACTCCCAGGGTGTTTGGAATAGAGCAGAGTATGGAGAGGCTGTTCCTCCCTCCTGTGTCTCTTCTATTTATCTCCCCTACACAGCCATCCAATTTCTGTTCATTATGAAACAGGTTTAAAGTAGAATTACAGTGCGTTGTCCGTGTGTCATTACACACACTGCCACCACAGTGAGAAAGGTGGAGGGTAAGGCACTGGGTGGCAGTCTTGTGACAGCCTGCCTCTGGACAGATACTCCTAAAAATGGAGCTGGGTATTGCTTTACTTGAGGCTCCAGTTTCACCTCAGCCCTGCAGCTCCGTGGTCCTGTTCCATCCTTGCTTAAATTCTTGAGTTTGTACCAGGGTCTCCTTCCTAAGCTTTTTTGCTTGCAGCCTTGTGGGAAGTGTGGTTTGACAGAAATACAGATACTGCTATTCCCAGCCTATCACAAGTTTCTCTCATCTGCCATATTCCTAACTAGTGAACTTAGTTTTCAGATAGGAGACTACAGTGAGTATCAACTTTTCTCAGGTTTTATTGTCCAATAATTACCAAATTCACTCATAGATTCACAACACTGAAAATGATGCCATAGTGGTAAAAATAGAAAATGTATGGACTGAAGAAGTGGCTTAGCAACTAAGAGCACTTGTTCTTGGAGAGAACCTAGGTTGAATTCTTAGTACCCACATGGTGGCTCACAACCATCAATAACTCCAGTTCCAGGGGATCCAGTGCAGCAGTCTGGCTTCCACAGGCACCAGCTATATGTGTAGGCAAAACACTCATACATAAAATTAATAAGCCTAAAAATCTAGTTAATAAAATTCATGGTCAAGGAAAAATGACTATGGGCTGGAGATATCGCTCAGTTGGTAGAGAGCTTGCCTAAAATGCTAGAATACCTAGAGTTAGTCCCAGCAACAACTGGATTTGGTTCAGCATTGAGGCCATCCTTGACTTTGTAACGTGTTCAAGGCCAGGCTGGAGTGCATGACATCCTGTCAGAGAGGCAGACTACGTCCAAAGGTAGACATTACTGCTGTAGGCTCTTAAGCTTGGTTGTGGTTTTTATATTGGCCCACAGTGGGCTGCTTAGCACAGTGAAATGTTCTAGAAAAATATAGAAGAGAGGATTTGCTTTGAAAGCAAGAGTAGGTATTAAAGGCTCGTGTGAGAACACTGCTCAGGTGGGGCTGGGAGGGACACTGTAGGAGCTCATGTTGTTTGGGGATTAGTTTCACCCACTTGGCTTCTCTTCCAGAGAGGAAGAAAACTGAATTATACCATGAGTTAGCACTCCAGGCCAGAGACTTGAGGTTTCAGCACGTGATGAGCATCACTACCAGGAACAACAGGATTATCATGAGGATGGAGGTAAGTGCTGTGCTGTTGTGCTCACCAGTGAGTCCTGGCCGTCTTGCTCAGTGTGTAGGTTAAAAAAAAATGCAAAACTGGGAATAGTGGTGCATATAGTCCAGAAGGGGGAGGGAAAGTTACATTGTCTGCCAGTTCCTTCTGTTCTCTTCAGATAGCGGTCTTCATACCTCAGCTCCCCAGTGCTGGCCTAAGGCCCTGGCCCTGACCAGCCTCCCGCATGACTGCTTTAGGGAACTTGACTTTTCTCGTGCGTGTCCTGGCAGATGTCTTGCTATGGGTTTGGAGTTTTTGAGACAGGGTTTCATGTATACCAGGCTGGCCGTGAACTTGTGTGTAGCTGAGCATGTCTTTGAACATCTGCTCTCCTCCACCTCCCAGGTGCTGGGATTTTTTTGTACACATATGTGCCACACCAGGCTGAAGTCGTAATTACTGTCTGATTTGTATAATTCCAGTTCTTCTGAGAGCAACTTATAATTATCAAGACTTACATATATTTGAATTTTCTTCCTTTATAAAAATATCCTTTATTTACTTTTAGAAAACCAAATGGACACTGATTTGGTTTAGTTTTAGTTCAAAATTAGTGAAATAAACTGTTTGGTGAATTTACTTTTTCCTCCAGCCTTGACAACTTGTATCTTGATGAATGTGTGTATATGTGTGTGTGCACATATATTCTTTTCTGTTGCTTTTCTAGTATTTGAAGGCTGTGATAACTCCAGAGTATCTTCTGATACTAGATTATCGGAATCTAAACCTGGAGCAGTGGCTGTTCCGGGAACTGCCATCACAGCTGGCTGGAGAAGGTCAGCTCGTCACATACCCACTGCCGTTTGAGTTCAGAGCTATTGAAGCACTCCTGCAGTATTGGGTAAGCCTAGTCGGATGTATTGTGCAGAGTGAACGTGAAGACATGTAGTCCTGACCATTTCAAAGCTGCTCTCCCAGCCTCATCAGTCCCTTGTAAGGTCCTCCAGGGAGATAGAGCTTCTCCTCCAGCCAAGTAGACCTAAAGACTCTTGAGGAACTGGCGAAGCACGTTTCAACTTGGCTGCCTTTATCCGCTTTTATGTTTTGGGGTTTTGGTTTGGTTTGGTTTTTGTTTTTTCGAGACAGGGTTTCTCTGTAGCTTTAAAGCCTGTTTTGGAACTAGCTCTTGTAGACTCGGCTAACCTCAAACTCACAGAGATTAGACTGCCTCTGCCTGCCGAGTACTGGGATTAAAGGCGTGTGCCACCGCCACCTGGCTCACTTATGTTTTTGTTGTTGCTGTGAAAGACCTCTGGAGCGGGGAGACTCTCACTCAAGTCTCGGGATAACACAACCCCCCAGGAACTCACAAGAGATCATCCTTGCTGCAATCACACGAGGTTTATTGACAGGACAGGAACCAGTGCACTGGGGTTGAAACTCATTTCCCACGCAGGAGTAGAGAGTTCAACCCTGAGTAGCTGGGAGAAGGGGTATTTAAGGGAAGAAACCACAACCCAGTAATCCAAATGGGGTAGGGAGGGCATCATTGGAAAATAAGTGATCATTGAAAAATTCCAAAAATATTGATGATAATCACAAGGGGGTAACTCCCTGTTTCTCAAGATTATTCTCAAGATTATAATCTAACTTTATCTTCAGCTAGTTCCTGAAACAGAGTCACTGAACCGGCTAATCTAGATTTTTGATTCTTCTCTCCCTGCTTAGATTTTTCACGCTAGGGGGGTCTAGATTTATCGGGGTCTTTCAGTTGTTGTTGTTTGATTGTTTATTTTTGTTTGTTGACCTGGGATCTAAGGCTGGCCTTGAACTAAGGTGGCCCTTCTACTTCATCCTCTCTAGTACGGGCTGACAGGTGTGTATTAGCACACCTGTCTGTGCCTTTCAGTGACCACATTATGGGATGAGAATTCAGGAGACCTTAAGTTGGGATGTAAGTGAACTCTGAGCACCTCTCACTTCATTCTTCAAACTCAGCTATAATGCAAGAGTTCACATGTGACCTCACCGTTCATCGGACAGCCTCTGTTTGAAGCAGCTCAAGGAGGTAACACCTCTTGCTTGGGACATAGACTGACAAGAACCATAGTTCTCATGACCCTTGCCTCATAAATCAGCAGTTAATGGATTCCTGGGAGTTGTGCAAGCCCAATCAAGGTGGCCACTGCCTTCCTAGCCCCTTCTAATCTTTTATGAATTTTCCTGCTCCTAATTAATCTGGATTGTACTATTCAGGAGCTGGCTACAATCAGGAGTCAGTGCTGGGAGCACATTAGTCAGAGAGGGAGATGGAAAGGCTGAGTGATCTGCTTTGCTTCAGTGAGAAAACAGATGATTTCCTCTCTCCTGGGGTTACAGGAGCAACAGCACAGTGCAGACAGGCTGGGCTGACTCAGGAGTTTGGAGTGCAGGAACAGATGCAGTCAGCTATATAAGAGCAGAGGAAGCTCTGCAGTCTATGTAAAATAGGAATTCTTGCCTGTGACATGGGGGCTAGGAAGGCTGAAAGAGCCCTGCAGTTATCAAGCCAACCATCTTTCAAATAAGGGGGAGCCCCTCAACCGACCTGTGGGCCATGACACCAGGAGCAGGAGGCCTCAGGAGGACCTGGAGTGGGACTCTAGTCTCCCATCCACACCAAGTCTAGCCCTTGTAGACCAGAGGGTTGGTGTCTCTTCAGGATAGTCGAACATTAGTTCTACCTTAGTGTCCTGGTTCATTCAGGTCTCCTGAACCTGGAAGTGAATTCTGTTATTCAAAGTAAAAGAATCTACAGCAGACTGCAAACTTCCAAGTCAGATGAGTTGTGCTTCTGACATAAAACAGCGTGTGGTAGCGTTTACATTCTTAATTCTGCTGCTTAATTCCTTGTCTTGTGTTATTTGCCAGCTGGTGCGGAGGTTTTTCGATCTTAACTGCTATCCTCTTACCAATTGATTCCTGTTGAGTATTAGCCATGCTTGTGTTAGCTTAAGAAAAGCAGGCTTCAGATTTTACAGTGATTTAATGTATCTTTTTTAAAGTCTAAGTCAAGCTTCAGTTTCCCTCCACCTCCGGAGAGCTGGAATTACAGGCATTTGACAACATATCCAGTTCATTCAGTGCTGTGGATCGGACCTGGGACTTCATGCATGCTAGGCAAAATCTCCACCACCTGAACTACATCTCCATCAAGTTTCAGTTGTTAAAAAGGTCATTCATTGTCTACAGCAATTTTGAACAGTGTTCTGTTTACAGAGAATATAGCTATTCCCAAATGTTTGTTGTTGTTTTTGTTATTGTTTGGTTGGTTGGGTTTTGTTTGTTTGGTTGCTTGGTTGGTTGACAGGGTTTCTCTGTAGCTTGAGCCTGTCCTGGAACTAGACCAGATTGGCCTTGAACTCACAGAGTTTTGCCTGCCTCCGCCTCAAATGCTGGGATTAAAGACCTGTCCCACCACCACCCTGCGCTATTCTCAAATGTTAAATGGGTGCTTTGACATGGAGTTTCAGGATTTTCCTAAAGATTTATATTTATTGTATATGTATGTAGGTACCAGCAGAGGCCAGGGGTGTTGGATCTCCTGAAGCTGGAGTTACAGTTGTAAGCTGCCTGGCGTGATTATGGGGAACCAAATTCTGGTCTCTGGAAGTGCAGGAAATGCTCTTAGCCACTGAGCCATCCCTCCAGCCCCCAGGATGTCATTAAGAAATCATTCCCTAGTCCTTTCATAGCAACTGTCTGTAGAGGGCTAACTCTGGCCTTTGCAGCATTCCGTGCTGCTCCTGTGACCCAGGAGGTGTAGCTCTAAGTCATCTATAATTTGGTGTTCTGAAGTGCTGTCAGTGTTTTGGGCTAGCACAAATGTCTGTTAAATCAAAGGCTTCACTGATCCTAAGTTCTAAAAAGATTGTTTTAATTCTTATGAAAGGCCATGTTGTTATCTAGATCAACACCCTTCAGGGAAAACTTAGCATCCTGCAGCCGCTGATCCTCGAGACCCTGGATGCATTAGTGGACCCCAAGCATTCTTCTGTCGACAGAAGCAAGCTGCATGTCCTGCTCCAAAATGGCAAAAGGTAAATGTGGGTGGCTTGTCAGGCTGGGAGTTAGAGACGGCTGCCTTCAGCTTCTTTCTCGTTGATGTCTAGAGAGATGGTCAATGTGAATTCACACATGAAACCTGCTGCAGTCTCCTGCCTCTGCCTCCTTGGTGCTAGAATTTGATTTTCATAATGAAAATAATGTGGTGTATTTTTTTTTATGTAGTGTAGGTGGGAGATTGAACTAAAGGAGCACACGATCTAATTAATATTGATCTAATACACTGCATATGAAGGCCCATCTGACATCCCAATTCATTAGTAGTTGATGTTATCTTCGTTGTGATAGCAAATTCATAGACCTAATTTGAATTCATTTATCCCCTACTCTAAGGTCTATGTTCATTTTCTAAAGTCATAATTTATCCAAAAATTTAAATTTTCTGCTTTAATTAATTTGTGTCATAATTTCAGTAAATATACTCAGAGATTTGTACTCCCCAACTTTTTTACCTGATATGTCTGAGGCCCTGGGTTCAGTCCCCAGCACCACAGAAAAAATGTTCAAACATTGACAGTTAAAACTTGATGGGGTGCCGGGCGGTGGTGACACACACCTTTAATCCCAGCACTTGGGAGGCAGAGGCAGGCGGATCTCTGTGAGTTCGAGACCAGCCTGGTCTACAAGAGCTAGTTCCAGGACAGGCTCCAAAACCACAGAGAAACCCTGTCTCGAAAAACCAAAAAAAAAAAAAAAACAAAAACAAAAAACAAAACTTGATGGGGTGAGGAGTGATCCTTAGAAAGAAGGTTTAGTGGTTAAGGGCACATGCTGTTGTCCCAGAGAACCCACTTGGTCCTCAGTACTTAAAAGGGGTGTGTGTGTTGTGGGTAAGGTGCCTTAAACCCTTCATCTCTCAACTGATCACACCCCTCCCCCACATCAAGCTTCAACTGTCAATGTTTGAGCATTCTTTCTGTGGTGCTGGCGACTGAACCTAGGGCCTCACACACACCAGGTAAGCACTCTACCACTGAGTCACAGCCCCAGTCCTTAATTGCTACATTTTCAAGAAAAGTTGGGGAGTACAAATCTCAGAGTATAATTAAAATTATGACACAAATTAATTCAAGTGGTTAGGTTTAGTGGTAAAGTACCTCTGCCAGCTGAGCCATCACAACAGCTCAGAAAGCCAAAATTTTCTTTGTTTTTTTTTTTTTTTTTGATTCTGTGTGTATATGAGAGAGGAGGGAGGGAGAGAGAAAGACAGAAGAGAGAGACAGAAGAGAGAGGATGTGCACACATGTGGAGAGGTCAGGACAACTTGCTGGGATTGGTTTTCCACTCCCACTTTCTGACTCCCACAGACTGAACGACATAGGTCATCAACTAACAGGTGCCTTGACTTTCCTGAGCCTTCTTCCTGACCAGTCTCTTTTTTATTATTAAGATTTATTTATTTTATGTTTATGAGTGTTTTCCTACATATATGTATGTGTGCCGTGTGTGAAGACATAGGATCCCCTGGAGTTGGCATTACTGGTGATAATGAGCCATCATGGAGGTGCTGGGAGCCAAACTCAGGTGCTGAACTGTTCAGCTATCTATCCCTTAGGCCCCTGTCCCCAGTTAAAATTTTCAAAGGGTTTGTTGTTTGCCCAATGTTAGTGTACTTTTATCATCTATAAATAAGCTCCAGGCTGGAGAGATGGTTTAATATGCTTTTTCTGAGGACCTGAGTTCATTCCCAGCACTGGGTCATGGCCATCTGTAACTCCAGCTAAAGGAAGCAACACTCTCTGGCTTTAACAGACACATGCACACACAGAGACATATATAAATATAAGTAATTAATTTTTTGAAAAAGAATACTCATGCCAGAAACTTGATTTGGCCTGAGGCTGGGTGGGTAGGGTGTTCAGGTCCCAAAAGGATGTGTGGAGTGGCGGTAGGGCACAGACGTCATCTGAGGGTGGATCAGGATGGCTGCCAGCAGCGTTTAATTGAAAAAAGCTACACCTACTCTATAGTGGCAAACAGGATTAAAAGGGAGACAAGGGGCACATGAACTGAGGTGTAGCTTGAAGTCAGGGGTTGAGGAATCTTTGACCTTGACAACAGGTACCTACCTATCTTGTGTTACTGGAAGAGTCACAAGTTTCTCTTGCTAGAGATAAGAATGACTGCTTCACCAAGCAGGAACTTTCCTCAAGCACCCTAGGGACTGGAGACCCTTATTCAAATGCTTGACCTTAAGAAAAGGATTTCTTCTGGAGTGCAGACACTAAACCAGTTTCTTAGTCGTACTCTGTTGGCCTGTACCCCTCATAACACTCCCAAAAGGGAAGGTTCTGATGTCTCTTTTCCCATTATACGGTACCATTCTGATTTCTCCATATTTATTAACTGAACTCTTTGCCTTAATAGCCTCAGGCTCTGGCAGATTGTAGGCATTTCACCCCTGGAGTCAGACAAGTCTAGTAAATCTCGAACTTTCCTGTTCATTTTGTGATTAGGAGGGCACACTGGAATTCCTGGTTCCACGGTGGCCAGGATTTTTTCCAAAGAATTATTTTGTTTAGGTAGGCTTTTATCCCTTACAAAAGCCCTCCCAAAATTTCCCAAGGGAAAAAGCATTAATTGAGAATCATTAAAAATGAAAGTGTGCTGGTGAAGTGTGGTCTGCACTATTGAAATGCTGGGACTTTGTCAAGCAGTAATGGTCACCATGCTGTCCAAGCCATACTTAAAACTGGGATGGTAGCTCACCGGTAATCCCAGCACTCAGCAGTCTAAGGCGGAAGGATTGCCTCAAATTGGAGTCCAGCCTAGGCTACAGAGTGATACCCTCTCTCAAAAAGGGGGAGGGGAGTAAGTAAACCCAAAGAGCCCCTGCTTGTCATAAACAAAGCCTTTGATTAAACATTCAGAACTACACATAAAAACTAAATGGTCTGTCATTATCCCCTCCCTGCATGTATCCAAGCAAGATGACAAACCTTGTAATTCCTCCAGACCTGTGTATCATAGGATTCCATTGACTTTCTGTAACCTACTTACTGTAAAGCTCTGCAGTGAACCTCTTGTTATCATTTGTAAAGAGGTGGGGACCAGTCCCATATAGCCTGAGGCCTCAGCAGCAGACAGACAGATAGGTATACCATGCAGAGAGAGTTTGGGTGTAGAGTTTATTTAATGGGTTATGGAGGGGAAAGGGAAGGGGGCATGGGGGAAGGAAATAAAGGGAGAAGAGAGAAGCAGCTTCTGCCTCTCTAGAAGGGCACTCGACAGAGGGGGTGGAGGATGACTGGGGAGGAGGTGGGGCTTGTCTCTTAAAGGAACAGGGTGCCCAGGTGACAGACCTCTTCAGCCAGCTTCTGCTCTAACTCAGTGCAGAGTTCTTAACTGAGAATAAATACCCAAGCATTCTACCTTAACCTTTAAATTTCCAGAGTGACACAACCTTGAAAGCCACCAAACTTGTTCTGTGTAGAGCTTGTCGCTGGTTACTCTTACCAATTGGTTTGGGTGTGGCTAATTTGCATAATTGTTGAAATGTTTCTTACCAGTGAATGCTGAAGTGATAGGTGGGTCCTTGTAAGATGCCCTAAACATGATATTCTTAAGTGAAATGTTGCAGGTTTATACTGATGATCTTTGCCGTGTGACTATTCTTACAGCCTCTCTGAGTTGGAAACAGACATTAAAATTTTCAAAGAGTCGATTTTGGAGCTTTTGGATGAGGAAGAGATGCTGGAAGAACTCTGTCTAACCAAGTGGAGTGACCCACAGGTCTTGTAAGTATTGCCTTGTGTTGTTTCTTCCTTCAGGTGAGCCTGTATTTGTCTAAAATAGAGAATAGGCATTTTCATTTTTAGTCACTTTGTCTTGCATGTGGCCCAGCTCAGTGAGGCTGCATTGAGTGTGCATTGCATTCTAGCTGCTGGGCTGAAGAGAACATAAACATCATAGTTATTCTCAAGGGATGGATCACTAAGCAACATATGCAAGATGAACTAGGTTCCCCATGGAGCACAGAGCAACAGTTGTATGGTAGAGGAGAAGGGGATAAGCCAGGGAGTGTGGATTGGATTCTGCAGCCTTGTCTGTTATAAACACACAGCTTACATACTTTTTCTGACTTACAAACCTAGAAATGGTTTGCTTTTTAGAAACAGCTCTAAGAAACTTAGTCACTGCTGCATATCATAAAGCAGGTTCAAGAAACACCTGCAGAGTGTGAAACTCAACTGATCTGAAAGTCACTGGAGACTTGTCTGCTTCTCCAGTAGACCATGGTATGGTTTGAAGTACTCATGCCTTCATTAGCTAAGAAGTATTGAAAAACAAGGAAAGGAGCTCGTGAGATGGCTCAGCAGGTGAAAGTTAATTCCTTTTTTTTTTTTAATTCCAAGACAAAACACACAACTCTCTCTTCCCAGTATGTAATTTGTACAAATACGCCAAATAGAGACAGCAAGGCTCAATGTAATTCACGTTTACCAAGTCAGTAGTAGGAAAGGCAGTGCCTAGTAGCGCATCACAGCTTCAGCCCACATAAGGCGTGTTTAGGGAAGCAGATATCAGCAGTTAGTCCTCTGCTCGCTCATCCAGGAGAGGAGAAATTGGCTGCTACTGTATTGCTTGTTTTCAAAGGCAAATGCTCTTTTTAATGTGTATAGGTGTTTTGCCTGCATGTATGTCTATATACTACTTATATGTTTGGTGCCCACAGAGGCCAGAAGAGGGCATTAGATTTCCCAGAACTGCAGTTATGGATGATTGTGATTCACCATGTGGGTTTTGGAAATGAAACCTAGGCATCTTTAAGAGCAGCTTGTACCCTTAACCACTGAGACATCACTCCAGCCCTAGGAAATGCTCTTTCCAACCTAGTCTGGATTTGTGTGTGTGTGTGTGTTTCATAGTAGCCTATGATTTGCCCTTTCTCATCAGTATTCACGTTTGTATTTTCTAGTCCCTAATGGTGCGTGTAATTTCATGCCTCTTTTGGATTGAGGCCTTGGAGCACAGTGATGCTAACTCATCTGTGTAGGGCTGAGTGCATTGTGCTCAGGATCTGTTGGCATAGCTTCTCACAGATTGGATGCAGTCACAACAGATGTGATAAGGCTGACTTTCTCACTGGCTGCTAAAGTTGGGGGTCAATATGTTGCACAAGCTCAGGTTTGCTGATTGTGTTAACTTGTGAATTGAAGTGAGAAGAGCAGTTCTGGGATTGACCATGCAGAGGAGATGGAGCTGCTGCTAGAAAACTACTACCGGTTAGCTGAGGACCTTTCCAATGAGGCTCGGGAGCTTCGGGTCCTGATTGACGACTCACAGAGCATCATCTTCATCAACCTAGACAGGTGAGGATGGATGCACAGCAGAAGATGGTAAGGACTGGGGTTGTGGTTGATACTGGAAAGCACTTTTTAAAGATATGTTTTTTGGAAGAAGTCATGCTGTCCCATCTGTGACTACTCCATAAGTGAACCTGTTTTTAGTTTCCTGATGCCTGGAAAAGCAACTGTAGGAATGCATGTTTTATTTGGACTCACAGCCTGACAAGGAAGTCACAAGGGCAGAAACCTGAAGTAACTGGTTATGTGTCCTGTTAGGAACTTGTCCACGTCCCCAGCCAGGGAATGGTGCCACCTATGGTGAGGATGGGTCTTTCCACCTCAAGAGGTTTCTTTCTATGATGACTCCAAATCTTGTCAAGTTACAATATTAATCATGTCAGGATTTTGAAGGTGGAGAGCGGCCTGGTAGGCCTTCACTAGGTTTGCTGGATTTGTGTGTTCTGGCCTGAGTTGGTGGTTTTCTCTCCAGCCATCGCAATGTGATGATGAGGCTGAATCTCCAGCTAACCATGGGCACCTTCTCTCTGTCACTCTTCGGACTAATGGGAGTTGCTTTTGGCATGAATTTGGAATCTTCCCTTGAAGAGGTAAGAACGCAATTTTTTAAGTAGGGTTTTTTTTTAATGTTTGGATGATTAGAATTTTTTGAAGTATGACCTGCTATATTAGTTACGTTCTCATTGTTGTAACAAAATACCTGGCAAAGGGAACATAAAGAATAAAATACCTACTTTGACTCACAGCCGAAAGGAGTTACAATCCATCATGGCAGGAAAGGCAAGGTAGCGGAGCATAAGGCCTCTCGTCACCTGGTCCACAGTCAGGAAGGAGGGCACTCTCCTCTGGTTAAACCTCTCTGGCCATACCCTCACAGATTTGCAGCTCTTAGGTGATTCTAAATCTAGTGAAGTTAACAGTAAATAAATGCCACATTTACATATTCCCTTAAAGAGTTAAACATAGGTTGTAACTCACGTAGAATGCAGGCAGTTATTGTTATCCCCTGTGTAGAGCTATGACTGTAGCCTCCATTGCTTTATTTCCTAAAGCATACAAGTACACAGGAGAGCTGGCTAACACAGCCACCCCGTGAGGCAGTGGTAATGAGGGATTTTATTTTCAGTTCTGTGTGTCTGGACCTGTACCTGGAAGTCCACATCCACAGAGCTTGTTTGGTCCAGTAATCACACTCTATGAAACAGACATATGTCCCCAGCTTTGTAGATAAGAAAATAGAGGCCCAGAAAATGTAGTAAATTGCAGATCTATAAAACCAGAGGATTTCAACTGAAAAATAAATGCTTTCTACTCTGCCCTCTTGTCTTTTTATGTCACGCTAGCGTTTCTAAATCCTCTGAAGCCTGGCATTTTCAGGGAAAGTATTATAAGGTTTCTAGCAATGATCGAGCGAGTAATCCGCACTTTGATGTTTGACCCACTGTCCTATGTAATTTATTGCTTCTATGGTTGTCACTGTGGTCTAACCAACACCATATCTCGGGACCACACATTTGTAAAAAGTGGTCTTTAAAAGACTGACTAGCTCAAACCTCTGCATAAAGATATTCCACTACATTCTAATTGGCCTTAGGATAAGTACAGATTCCCAGGTCTGTGGACATTAGTCGCTTCTTCTGGATTCACCTCAGACATTTGTATCCCGTCTTGTCAACTGTGCTCTGGTTCTTTCTCAGAACTGCTGGCTGCACAGCACTCCCCTCACCTCCCAGTTTTGTTGCCTGGGTCACTACTGTTCACTTCCTTGGGCTGTAGCTTTTGTTAAGAATCATTCTGTGGGGGCTGGAGAGATGGCTCAGTGGATAAGAGCATTGCCTGTTCTTCCAAAGGTCCTGAGTTCAATTCCCAGCAACCACCTGGTGGCTCACAACCATCTGTAAAGAGGTCTGGCGCCCTCTTCTGGCCTTCAGGCATACAGACAGAATATTGTAATATTGTATACATAATAAATAAATAAATAAATAAATAAATAAATAAATAAAAGAATCATTCTGTGTCCATATGTAGGTAAAAACCTGAAAACATGAGATAGGAAATACCTCGTAATTGAAGACCAATCACAACTACATTGGCATGGAAAATTTCATAGCTGGTCTGTTGTGGCTCATCCAAGATGTGGGTGCACTAAAAGTATTATATAAAATTATCTTTGGACTAGTTTAGATATATCAGGTGCATGTGAAATGTTTTTTTCTTTAGACTCCAAAAGAAAATACCATAGGTCACATGCCCCACCAAGACAAAACATATACAACTAACATATTCCTGCCTTTCAAAAGTTAGCGGTTGAGCTTGTGAAACAGAGAATGATTATGTAAGGATGGCGCTTCCTCCTTGTTATCCATCGATATGTAAATACGTAAACTGAAACATGTTTTGGTCCCAAGGGGTTGAGATGGACTAACCAACCTTTCTTAACTAACCCAGAAGCTAACTCTGTTTTCTGTTTAACTCTAATATTCTTCTTACTCAAGGCCAAAAAGAAAAGTGTTTTTTATTTTGTTTAAATCTTTTTGATCCAAGTGTAGTAGCGCACACCTGTAGACTCAACTCTTCCCTAGGGTGTGGCAGTAGGTCTCTTGGGCACCAAAGCCTTGCCTTTGCAACAGCCTTTCTGACACTTGGGTTATGCACAGTCCTAAATACAGAAGAACCCAGTTATGAGACACTTGAGGTGTCTCTGCCCTCAGTCTTGGTCTCTGGGCTTCGCTGCAGGCCTAGGTCCTGTTTCTATGGAAGACTTCTTGTGGTGACAGAAAGGCTCCTTTTAACTCTGGAAGAGAGTTGTCTCTGAAGAGCATAACCTTTGTGATTGGAATGAACCCTTTTTTCTTTCAGGACCATCGTATATTCTGGCTGATTACAGGAATTATGTTTATGGGAAGTGGCCTCATCTGGAGGAGGTTGCTTTCATTCCTTGGAAGACAGCTGGAAGCTCCTTTGCCCCCTAAGGTATGGACTAGGAGCTCACGGTAGCACTGCTGTGGGCTACAATCCTGGGCTACAGTCAGATAGAGCCTGGGTTTCAGTTGTCACGAGTTTGTAACTCTGTGTGAGTTACTTGATTTTTCTACCTCTCCTCACTTTCCCATCTGTTAATCCAGTCAGTACTCTGTGCTTCATTTGATTTAGAAAGACAGATGTTTAGTACTGTCCAACACAGCAAATCTGCTAGAAGTCACTTGGTTTCTGCAGAACACTGGCAAGAATCAAACATTGAGGCAGATGCTCATCACTCTGCAGGGCTTTCCCATAGCCATACTGCAATAGCAGAGCGCTCTTTAAGCACAGGGGCCTTCACCTCCTCTCTTCCCACGTGTGTGGAGCAGCACAGCTGGGGTAAGGGCACACACAGACTCTGACCTGTGTAGTCCTTTATTTTCACCTGGTTAATGACTTCTCAGAAAGACAAACACTTAAATTCGTTTCCTGCTTTATTTAGATGGCCTCCTTACCTAAAAAGACCCTTCTGGCAGATAGAAGGATGGAAGTGAAAAACAGCCTCAGGCCGGAAGGACTTGGAGCAAGCCGGACTGTCCTGGCAAGCCGCTAACATCAGCCTGGCAGACAAAGATTGTTGTGCTTCTGAAGCTATTATCTCTCTCTGAGGGGGAAAAAAAGACAACTGCTGTTTAAATTATGTCTGACTAAAATAGTGTGGCATTCACAATACTAAAACATAGCTGCGTCTTCAGAATTCTATGAGACAAAGTGCTTTCTTTGTAAAAAGCCAAAATCCTATGTTGGAGAGGACTGCCACATCCTGATGGGAGACTGGCCTATGGTAGGCCAACCTTGAATACTGTTTTTATGGACTTTTTAAAGAATAGATTAATTTATTGTGAGATAGACTTACCAGGATTCAGCGATGTTATACATACCAACAAAGGTGCATCTTTATGCTGGTGGAGCCCAGAAACTTGGCAGAGCCTCTAATCCCTGAGCTCATGGGCTGCAGGTTACCAGTCAGGGAATCATGTTCCCATCGACTTCTGACTGGGGAATGAAACTGGTGGATCTGCTAGCCTTGCAATGAACCCTGGAATGTAGGTCATGATAGAACCTTATTTTCAGGTATTTGCTTTCTTTTATATATAAGATAAATAAAAAGGAAGTATAATTTAATGTCCATACAGGGATTCTGGTTAATCAAAACTATTATTTTTCTTTGATTGGTTATAAATAGAACCTTTGGAAGTAAAGTTGAAAGTGTTTATTCTCTTAGAACTTTATAACTGTTTTGATCATTGCCTGATTTAAGAGACTGTCTTCCTCCGAAGAAAATGTATACAACCAGCTAATCTGTTTGCCTACCTCTCAAAAGTTAGCAGATCAGCTGGTCAAACAAGAGGGTAGTTAATGTAAAAATGGTGGGAACATTATCTTCCCAAACAAGACGTTAGCCTTTAAAACAAATGGTAAAGCAGGATGTGGCTGGTCCTTTGTAATTCCAGTCCTTGAAAGGCTGCAGCTGGGGGATTGTCAAGAGTTAGAGGTCAGTAGAGGTTATAGTGTTCCGGCCCACCTGGACTGGAGAGTACAACCCTGCCTCAAAACACCAAATAAAGGGGGCTGGGAGTGCTGCTCATTGTTAGAGTGCTCGCCCAGCTTGCGCAAAACTGTGGGGTCAACTCCTAGTACTGCACAGTAAGTAACCGAATTGTTGATACCTGTAAGTCTGAAAGCTGCCATCCTACTTACCATTCTACCTTCCTTTGTGTATTTTGTAGAGGTTTCATTACGTTGTGTGCTAAAACATTACAGTTAAGTGTGCTTCCAAAAGCAGTGCACTTGTAAGATTGTAGTAAGACCAGAGCAGCTCTTAGCCTGCAGGGTAGGGGTAATGAGTGGAGGACTTACACCTACCACAGATGTGGGGTGCCCAATTACTGCAAGTGTTACAGCTCTGAAGGAAAGGTATCCCGACTTGTGGGGAAGTCAGGCTATACCTGAAACTGGGTTCCTGTGGGAGGCAGTCTCCTATCAGGATGTGGCAGTCCTCTCCAAGGCTCTGCTCCTCTCCCCCTAGGAGTTTCCCAACAGAAGTATCTGTTTCTTCTCAGCTCAGGCCCAAGTTGCTGCTTCTTCTGCTTCATTCTGCCCTGCAGAACGTAGCAATCTGCTCCAGCTCTAGCTAAAAGTCATTGCTTCAGCAGAGGTGTCAGTTGCTCCTTCCGCTCTGGTTTCCTCAGGGAGATTCCCAGTAGAGATTCTGCTCTGCACCAGTGAACGATCTTCACCCAGAACTCTTTGAAGAGATTTATTTGGAAAGGAGTCCCGGAGAGTGGCTGCCTCCGTCAGGGTGGAGAAGGACAGTTGCCAACTAAACAGGCAGAGGGCTTACATAGGGCTTGAGTTATTCCAGGGTGAAGATTTCAGGGAAGGGAGGGAATTGGTCAGATTTTGATCCCCTTGAGCTTGGACACAAACTCAGATTGGCTAGATTTTCTGCTCAGGGATTGGTTAGTTTCGTGTTCAGTTGGTCAGGGGCAGATTTGGCTCTGGTTTCAGAGCCAAAGTGTGTTTCTTTCCTGGTCCTTTTTAGTCTTTTACCTCTAGTTTCAGGGCCAGGGTATGTTTCTTTCATTGGGTCTTGTTCCAGGGTCAAGGTGTGTTTCTTTGGTTCCAGTTTCAGGGCCAAAGTGTGTTTTGTTCACTGGCTCTGGGTTCAGGTCTAGGCTGTGTTCCTTTCACTGACTCTGGTTTCAGGGCCAAGGTGGATTTCTTTGGCAATTTTTTACTTTTTACCCTGCAGTGACCCTAATGTGTCCCACAAGAATTTCAGGTTCATTTACTGGGTGATTTAGCAATGGGAATAAGAATGTTATTCCAGTAGAAAACAGAAAGTTCCAGGTGAGCTCCCCTCCTATGGGACTGTGAGAGCTGGTCCCGAGCAGCTGAGCTAGCCTGGTGTCACAATCGTGAGAAGCTGGAATGTGACCCTATGGAAATTATAGCCGCTGCAGCCTTTGATAGTGTCCAGGATCATCTTTGATGATGCCTAGGATCCACGGTACCCTTCTTCGGCAGACCCAATGATCAGTCTTAACATTGTCTCAGGTTTTTGCTCAACTGAGATACCTGAAGAATTGAAGTCATTTGATCCCAGGTCAGACACAATGAAATAGCATTTTTCCTTGTGTTGTTAGTTTATGACCTTAAGTAAAGTAATTGTCTCAATTAGTCATGTACCTTCTATTGATAACTATTTCTGCAGTCAGATAAAAAGACAGAACAGAGAGTTTGTAAAAATTTTAAAAGTGGTTAGGTCATTGAGGGTTCTCGAATGTAACTGCTACTTAAAGGAAATGTTGTGAAATATCACATACTGAGTTTTATGATTGAACAAGCAGTCACACATCCCACATCTAGCAAAGCAAGGGGGTGTGATCCTTTTTCAGTCTGTCCTTATTATGTTCAGAGCCTCTGAGCCGATGTGAGAAGAGCAGAGGTCACCCTATGAAACGATCCCTCTGCATGCCCTTCTTGACAACAGACTGGAATAGGCGCAGGCACTTTGTGTGGCAGGCTCCAGGAGCTGCGCTAGACTTTATTTCTGGGGCATCAATGAAGCCACATTTGAACTTTAGTATGATAACTTCAGTAATGGCCACAGAGGTGATTTCATGGAGGGATTGGAATGAGTCCAGAGACTTGAGCTCTCCACCAAAAGCCCACCTCCAGTCATTCTAACTTTATAGTCTGGGACAGTAAAGCATAAAGCAATTCCTGTCTTGAAGCCTTAAAAATGTACAGAGAGAAAGCTAGAAAAGTAATATGTAAATGTCTGTTGGTATCTTGAGGTAAAGATGACTAAGCTAAGCAGTTGCTCAGTTAGTGTTGTTCTTGAGTATCTAAGCATTGTGGGACTGGTTCTTAGAACCTCATTTAACACTTGGTGGAAGGAAATGTTAACCCACCTGTTGAGAATAATAGACTGTCATGTGCTAATTTTTTTCTCTGTATCAGGTCAATATTCTCTATAGGTCGACCTTCAAAAGTGGGGTAGCACTTTATTTCTCACAGAGAAGTCAGTATGTTGTAATTGTCAGTATGACAATTTTACAATGTACAGTGTTACAGTTGTCAAATGACGATCCTGTCAACTTGAAGATGTTTCCATCTCTATAACATTTCAGCTTTTTTTTTTTTTTAATGTAGTAGTGCCTACTACTTGCTGTGTTCAGACACTGAGCCAAAGACAAAGACAAATCCTGTGGTCAGCCGTGGCCATATTTAGACAAGCTCCCGACAGTTATCAGAGCAGAAGCACTGGCACTTTAGGGCTAGAGCATCAGCCCAGGGTTGGGAAAGTTCATACCTGATGTGCACAAGGCCATGGGTTTGGCCCTGCCACCCTTCTGCTGATAGTGTTCTTCAGATAGCTTGAACTGCGAGTTACTACCCAAGCAAAACCAAATGTCCCTGTTTGCTTCCTTCTGTGTCTTAGGGGGCTGTATAGGGCACACTCAACAGCTAGTCTGGAGGGTGAGCAGTGCCTTCTGGGGTGAGTGTTTGTGAACTGCCCCTCTTTCTCACCTATGAGCCGTCATCTTTTGTGTATTCCACATTCCCATTGCAGAGGTTTCTCTTTCTCTCAGTGGGACTTGTCACCCCTTTTCCTTCTCCTTTTGATATCACTTTCCAGGATCAGAAAGAACAGTATCTCCTTTGACTGACAGGGGACCAGCCAGTCACTGTTATAAGTTGAAAATGGAGACCAGGATCTACCCTAAAGAATAGGCCAAGAGCAAGTGAAGCCACAGCCCACTCATCCCTTACGGTCAGCCTGGGCTCAAGGCCATCCCACTCCCTCCTGCTCTGTTGGTGGAGCTGGCAGCCGAGCACAGCAAAGCCCCACCGCCCCGTGAGACTTAAAACCACAATGGTGAGGTTGATCACTTGTCGTCACGGACGTGTGAAGCACGAGATAGCTCAGCCAACTTTAGTTTCTGAGGTTGTCCTTCTAAGCCCTCATTGAGGAAGGAGCAGTGTGTGGGCACCTTCCCCCATGCTTTTCTCTCTTCCCACCATGTTTTCCCTGTATCCTGCACCGTCAGCATGACAAAAGGCCCAAGATGAGCAGCTTCAAAAGAAGAAGCATTTATTTTGGCTCACAGTTTCAGCCATGTCAGTTGTAGAGCGCTTGACCCTGTTGCTTTGGAGCTGGGGAAGAAGCCAGCACGGCTGAGGAGAGCTGTTCATTTACATGGCAGCTGGGAAGCAAAGCGGCAAGTGGTCCTGGTACACCCTAGTGACGTAACTTCCTCCAACAAGATCCCACTCCAAAATTTCTACCCTCCTTCAGCTGGAGACCAAGACTTCAGCATGGGAATTTGGGGGCACATTTAAGATCCAAATAGGACCAGCCGCCGCTTAAGGATTTTTTTTAAGGAGCAATGATAGAATGTGTTACGAGGTAACTGTTCCCTTTCTAGGCAAGAGACAGACAGGTATTAAACCAGAAGAGGAGATACAGAGTGCCTGCCGTTCCCCATCATCTGGTACCCACACATAGCTGACCGCATTTCCAGGTCACCTGGCTGTCAGTGTGTCTGTCCCAGGAGCCCCACCTCTGCCAGGCTTCACCATGGCACCACTAGAGGAATGCTTTGTCCACCCTGGAGATGGACTTGGCCCAAGAGGGAGGAGCTGAACAGGAGAATGGAGTAACCGTCTTCAGTCTGAGCTGAGGCTGTAGACGTGAAGTGCCCCAGAGAGCCGGGCGCCCCAAGAACTTCTTCCAGCAGCGACAACCACTTGGTTCTGTAGAGGACACAATATAGACAGCATTGATGACAAATTCCTCCCACTGTGCACTGGGGATGCATAGGAAAGCCATGGTGGCCAGACCCCATAGCTAGAACTTACGTCTTTCCCTTTGCTCATATACTACTTTCTTGATCTGTAAGTTGTAAAAACCACAGTTGTGAAGCTGACCTCGGCCCCTGCCTCTTGGACATTTAAAAAAAATTTTTTTTTTAGATGGGAAACACAGTGTGTGCTTATTCCAGAACCTCAGTGTAGTGTGCTACACTGAGGTTCTGGAATGGATCTGGAATGCATCTGGAGTGGAAAGGACTGATAGGGCGACCGTCAGACAGCATCCTTGCCCATCTTCCAGAATTGTCTTCAAAATCTGCTGCCAGTTGTGAAACATTTTTGTTTTTGTTTTGTTTTTTTTTGTTTTGTTTTTTTTTTTTTTTTTTTTGGTTTTTCGAGACAGTGTTTCTCTGTGGTTTTGGAAATAGCTCTTGTAGACCAGGCTGGTCTCGAACTCATAGAGATCTGCCTGCCTCTGCCTCCCGAGTGCT